AAGGGTTAAATTTAGTAGATTAAAATGAACTCATTTCCAATCTTTTCATGTGGCAGCTTGCCCCTAAGATCAAAACCCGTAAGTGTAGGTTATGTTTAATTTCTAAATCAGAGTGTTGTGGCCAGATGTTTGAAAGCTTAAGATGACTCAGATTCATTTGCTGCATGGCTTTCTGCCTGGATAACCATACCATACGTAGATCGTGCCATTTTTGCTTTACTACTGTATTGCTTTGGTGATGACATATATAATTCTAGCATAACTTTTCTGTTAATGGCCCAAACTGTGTCTTCTGTAATGACCATGTAGCCAAACCACATTGAACGTGGACTACTTCTATCTTTAATGTTAGCTGATCTAAGTTGGATAACATGAGATATGATCATTACTTTCACCCTTTTCTGTATTTCTTTCAACTTTATCCAGCTCAAGGTGATGTACCCACAATGACTGGTGCCTGTTTGTTGTGGTTTGCCCAGCTGTTTCTTCACTATGTGGCTGTCTTTGCCCACACAGGGAACATACTCATATAGGCTTTCACACAGAACACTCGAGCAACCATTTTATTTGAATATGCGTTTCCCACTGTGGATTTTCATGATTATGTTGCAGTTTTTGCAGTTAATTTTTCATCAGAAAAGTAGTCGATATGTTCTTACTCAGTACATTTAGATTTTTTTGTTTAGACTCTGATTCAAAACTCATTTGAGTAAACAGAAAGGCTCGCATGAAAAGATTTCATAGATCTTTGAAGTTACTGTTATTTATCAAGAATTGTAAGTAAATGGGGGTTTTTGTTTGCTTCCTTAAATCAGGATAATAAAAAATTTGGTTTGGTTCTTGTGTTCTGATTAATCCGCCCAGACTGCAAACTGCTTAATGGAACAGGGACATCTTTATGGCAAAATTGTTTCTTTTTTAAATCAACCATGAAAATGATGAAACATAGCACATTTTGGGTTAGTTTTTCACTGGCTGCCTTCTTGTTTAGAAATTAAATGTTCTGAGTCTCCTGTTTTGATACTGCTTACTGCCCCTGGTGTGACTGTTCAAAGAACTCTCTGTCTGGGGTGTTGCAGCAGAGCACCTTCAGACAGTTCTGCTTGGAGAAGGAAGTGGAGAGTTTTGGTTCCCATTTTGCACTTCTGGAACAGTTTAGGGAAGGAAGCACCTTTACACCTTTTATTGTTTGTGGTTGCTGACATCATATCCTTCCCTGACTGCTCTGTGCGTGTTTCCTGCCATTCTATCAAGATTCTTCTGTGTTGCAGAGAAGGGATATGGGTGCGCATGTGTGTGTGTGTGCATGTGCACCCGTGTGTATGTCTGTGCATGGATGCACGACAGAGAGACAGGAGCTGCATCTGTCCATTAGCTCTTGTCCCTTCTCAAGGCTCTGATCAGTCTTCTGTCAGCAACCACTGCCTCTGCCAAATCATATAGTGAACAGAAGCCCGCCATAAACTGAAGTTCCTCTTTTTGTAAGCAGTCTGATTTTATTTTTTTTTTTTTTTTATTATTTTTTTTGTGTGTGTGTGTGTGTGTTTGGGTTAGCAAAAGAAAAAATGCTGCAGGCTGTAGCACCATAGCATGTAACTATGTGTTTCTTTAAGTGCAATTTGTTTGCATGTGACCATGTCATTAAGTTAGAAGGTTTCTTTTATGTGGAGAATTACTTAATAGAGCTTCTGGAATTATTTTAAATTCCTGTTTACATTCTCTTGGATAATGAAAGCCTGCAGTACTATTTGAGTTTTGTAGTACCTTCAATGTTTCCAGCTAGCTTGCTTTATTAGTATTAGGAAATACAGTTAGTCAGTTAACAGGAACTTTAAATACTTAATCCTTAATCCTGAAAGAACTTTCGAAATGTATTGCATACAGTAGTGAAGTCCTAAAGCAGCAACTGGGATTTGATGGTCTCCGGAGTTCTTCATACTCTGACTCAGAAGTCACCAGCTTTTGAAGGCTATGGCCCTTAAATCAGACATCTTGATTTACTCACCTGAATCTAATTGATTAGGAATCAATATAGCTATCTGCTTTATACATGTATTAACAAAATAATAGAACTGTAACCAAACACATTCTACAAGTAGCTTGTGAAACAATATGTATTGGAACATACATATGTGTCAGAGTAAGACAGATATAAAGAATACCACAGTATTCTCAATTTTTTTTCTAGTAGCAGTGAAAGCAGCACTGTTTTTTAAAAGGGAAATAAATTTGCTAGAAAAAATAAAAAGTTTTTATTTGAAGTTAGACTAATAAGCAAGAAAGACAAAAGGGAGAAATTTTTCATCCCTGCAAGAAAAATTAACTAACTGCCTTATGATGGAAATTTATGTTTCTTTGAAAATTGTGTGTTCGATGCATATGGCCTAACATATTCGCTCTTCTCCTTCATGTTCTCTTGGGTTGTATGATAATATTTAAGAACCAAATCATTCTTGTTCCCTTTCAGCTTTATGTTCCTGCACATCTATTTTTCCACTTTAAAGTAAAACTAGTGTAGTTAGTGGATTAATACAGGTAATGAAGAACAGAATTCTGCTCATCAAGTGTAGCACGCATTACTTCAAGATAATTCTATGTAGATCATAGGAATTTTAAGTGTTCTGGCTTTATACTGTCTATAAGATCTTTTGCTGTTTGCAGGCTGGTCTTAAATGTGGAACTGGTAAGTGTGTGGGAGGGACTCAGCATACTGCTTCTCCACTAAGACTTTTGTCCTTCCTGGTATATTTTCTCAGCATTACGTAATTTTTTCTGAACTCACTCGGCATCAGCACCCTGATCTGCAGAGCGGCTCTCATCCTGGCTAACCTGTCACCACTGCTCTAATCTGTCCACCCTGACTTTCCATCTTGAAGTGAATAAGAGCTTAGGCAGGGGTAGTGTTGTAAACCAATAGTGACACTGACTGCAGCTGAATGAAAGGAAAGGAAGTTGTTCCATATGCATTTGCTGTGGATTAGTGTATTGGCTTACTGTGACAGAGAAAGAATGTTGACTCCTCTGGGTCCTGCATGTGCATGGGAAACGCCATTCTTAACTTACTCTTTGTATCAGAGGTAAGACTATAGGAAAAACAGGAAAGAAACACAGTCTGAGGAAATCTAAAACTGTTTCTAAAAATAGACTGGGCTTGTTTGTCAACACTAAATATCAGATAAAACTGTCTCCTAGCTTTGTTTGGGAAAATAAGTTTTCCACATACATCTAATCAACTCAATTTAATTCAAAGGCTTGGACTTCTCTGTTTTGTTGTAAGTATGATCAAGAGCGTTTGTGTATTTTTAAGCAGCGAAAGAAGTAAAAAGCATTAAAAGGAAAATAATTGCAGCCTTTACAATTTTTTTATTGGCAGTATGAGTTGTTCCATTTTCTGCGTTATGGTGGAGATTTAGACATATATAAATATGACTACCAAATCATATAAAAAGTTAATCATGCATAAAGGTAGTAAGTATTACACTTGAAAACTTGGTTTGCCCAGCAGAATAACTATACCATAATGGCTAGTTAGAAAGCTCAGACTGACTGCTTGTTGACTTGCTTTCTTCTAAAGAGTGATAAAACATTTGAGCAGCTTAGAGTTTAATGTATGCAAAGAAAGTCAAGAGACAATTGAAAATCAGAATGAGTGAGGTCTAGCTTTTCTACCTCAGCAGCTTTGAATCAGAGCCAAATAATGGATTAAGTGGCCAGGGCATCAGCTAAGTGTTCCTTAACATATTGTAACAATTTATCAGGTTGGCTGCGAGACTGCATCATAAACTAAGGAAACACTAGCCTCAGTTTTAAAATTACTAGATTTTTATTTTTGAGGCAATATTTTTAATATACATAAAAATGTCATTAATCTGACATAAAAACTGTAAGAAAACATTCTAAATTATTCAGATTTTTTTTTCCTCTTTTCTGGATTTAAAAGAACTATGTTAATTTCTGTTAGAAATACGTAAATATAAAAATACAGTAAATGAAGGTTAAAATGGGAACAATTAATCTTTTACATTAGTACCAGACTGAACATCATTTCTATAATCTCTTCTATCTCTGCTAAGTATTTTGTTGCTAAAAATACTTTGCCTATGATAGAAACTAATTTTGTGATTTATGACATTTTGTGAAATATGAAACATGTACTGTGTTATATATTTTTATATACTGCATCTAACTGTCCTTAGTTTTGTGATAGAACCAGTGCTGTAAAGCTCAGAGAGCTAGCATCAGTGCATTACTGAAACTGTGAAAGTATTTTCCAAAACATTCTTGAATTACCATCTTTCCCTATTATTCTGTGCTACATAGCTTGCCTTTTGGTGCAAAAAAATTTTATAAGGAAAGATATATAGTGTTTCCTGGTAATAAATCACTTGCCAGAATGTTTTAGAATTTACATTGAAATGAAATGAGCGAAAATGCACTACTGCTTTCTTCAGGTATTTTGAGTAATACTTGCACTAATCTATATTCTTAAAGAATAAGGTTAAAGATTTTGGATTTAAAGTAGCTGACATCTCTCATATATCAAGTAACACTTTAATAAAGGTCCATGCTATTTGCATAATGAGGGGCATTATCACCTCTGCTGTCAAACCACAAGCTTGTTTTCCCTTCAGGAATGAAATAGCTGGCCTACTTAGCATACATAGGTAAAGAAAGGTTCATTAACTGTCTGATTTAGGTAATTTTTCATATTAGAGCAGTGAGCGGTACTTAAAACTAGAGACATCTAATTCCGTTAAAGTTTTGGCAATGTGCATTTCATTTATTTTCTTCACTTCTTGATATATTAGTGTGTTTATTCATAAAAAGAGGTCTTTGAATTAAATTATTATTTCTTGATGCATTACTTATTTTATAGACACAGGAAATTTTTATTATAATTTACTCATGCTAAATTATAATGAGGATGCGTGGTCAGCTTCATATGACTTTCATCTGGTTATCAGTTTTGTAATAACATTTGATTTCTTTTCTGTGTTTAGCAGGAACAGATGCAGGGGACTGTGAACTGAGTAGTGCAAGTGCTGAAGAAGGAGGTTTGTTTTGAGGAAACGGGAAAGAGGAAGAAAAGAGAAGGGGAAAATACGTAATCGTAAGGAAGAAGGAGAGAAAAAAAACGGGGACTATGGGGAGAAAAAAGATTCAGATTACAAGGATTATGGATGAACGTAACAGACAGGTGAGTAGCAAAAATGCTGTATTTGAACATCATACTATATTTCTAAGTTGACTTATGCTTATAAGTGATTAAAATGTTGGTAACTTTGTGCACCTATACATACGTACATGTATACATACACATGATGTGTGGAATACTATCAAAGAAAAAGTACTTTTGGAAAAAAACAGAAACCTCACACACAGTTTTTTTCAAGTTTAGTAACATGCACAGTTAGGAATTTATTTCTTGAGGCCTTGATTCTACAAAGAATGATGCACATGCTCTACTGTGGACCCTCTCTACATTCACTTTGACTTCAATGTGTAATATGCAGGGTTAAGCAAATCTGCGAATTGTTACAGGATGCAGGCTTTTGGTACTGTATTTTTTGAACTGTTATGAGTTTATTTGCAGGAGGACTTGCATTTAAATTCATAGATCAAAATTATTTATGTCTCTACATGTTTGCACTGTATTTTTACCTCCTTTATATAAAAATAGCACTACTTCATTAAAAAAAATCTTTTCCCGTCAGTATTTTAAAAACAATTTGAACACATTCTAAAACCCACATACAATAATACTGACATGTTATAGTCTCTGTAACTGATGTTATGGCTAAATAGGTCCAGCAGGACTGGTTAATTAATTATTATCACTGCTTTCAATAAAATAGCTGAGTAGCTGTCACATATTATCAACACTATCTCAGCAAGTTAAAATATGGTCATAAATTAGAGATAGTGCTTTCCTGTATTCAGAAAAATAAAATTCAACAATTGGCATCTTAAAATCAGTGAAAACCTGCTGCTGTTTACATGCAATGTAGGCAAATGTTTCATTGAAAGTGGAGATTCACAAGTGTGAAAAATTCTCTGTAAAATTATTTAACCCTACAACTGGTGTTCTTCATAACTGTGGCTGAAATTTAAGAGCAATATTCAGTAGGCATTTTTTAAGAACTTGATAGTGAGTTACTATTAATGTATTAATTATATTCCTTTGATCCATAAATTTCTTCTTGTATTCAGGTTGTTTTTTAAGATGTTAGTCTTCAAGGATTTTATAAAGCCATAAAAAACTCAGCCTAGGAATAACAACAAATTATAATCTTTAACTATGTTTTGTAAGAATTTTTAGTATTTTATTGCTAGTAGTCACTAGTGTTCTCCATAGCAGAAAATCGTGTATAAAAGCAAAATTAGATTTATGTTGGATACACTTTGTGTTTTCCCTAGAGATTGCCTATTATTATGGGCCAAGCCAAAAAGCAATAAATCGATCAATATAAAACCATCAACATACTTGTTTTAATTGGTTTATAGCTTTGAATTTAAATTGGGTTTGAATTTATCATTAAATATTAGTTAATTAGCAGCTAGTTGTTTGGAACTTCCGCATACTACCATGGTTTCATTTTGAAGTGAACCTGAATTATTTTGTAAATGATACTACAGGAATTTGCCATTAGTAACACTAGTTCATACAATAGCTTCAGTGTCAACTTGCTTACTCAAATACTGGATTTATGGAGAACTTAATCCCTGGTTTTGTCAAAAAGATGTCTTTCAAGAGGCTAAATTTACTTCAGAAATGAAGATAGCTAGTCTTTCAAGGCATTCACAGTAGTTTCAAGAATTGTAGCACCAGTGTTCAGAGCTAAAAAATTATAATTAAAACTATAATGCTAGAATACTGAGAACTATAGTATTCATACAGAAAGTGTTTATCTTGCTAGCATTTGGTAATACCAGTCATGTTGAATAGTCACAGTGAGGCTGAAGGTATAGATTTACATTACCCTCCACATGCTGTAGTTGGCTTGATACTGCTTCTCATTTCTCTTAATTTATTGGAACATAATTTAAAAAATGTTTTGTTCTCTTTGTACTTAGTGCCTTGATTTAAAGCTCAGTGAAGCCAATGAAAAGATTTCCACTGATTCGTTTGGACTGTGCAATCAGACTTTTTAGTTGTAGCAAAATATGTGTGATTAAATACAACTGGATTTTCACTAATAGCTGATTGATCTTTTAACCATTAACGTGAAACATCCCCTTTCACAAGCCTTACTGTTTCTTAAAATTCAATGTATTCCATGAGCTGTTGTTGCTTCAGTGAAGATGTACCAGGTAATACTTGTTTTCTAACTTACACGCTTCCAGTAATCTTAAAATAGTTTATATTCCAATATTTTTCATATTTTATGATGTAAACACATTTGAATGCACAGAAAATATTAAAAGGTTGCACAGGAAAAAAAAAAAAAAGGTTAAAAGTTTTTTATTAATAATGTTAAGATACCAGCTGAAGCACAGTTCCACAAAGCTTATTTGTAGCTCCATTTTAACATGATATGGCTGGAGATTGTTTCCTTTTCTTTCTTACTACCTGACCAAAACATGTTTACAAGAACAGCAGCAAATCTGTTGACTTGAAACTGCCTTACTGTTGCTATATTCAAACATAGTGTTGTTTCACAATACAAGGCATGTTAGATGGGAATATGATATACATGAATAGTGCATCCTCAGCTGTTTTCAAGCACATAAATTCTCTGCAGGACAGCACATGCAGGGAAAAATAAGTGGAACACATATCAAATGAGAGGATACAGCAATAGTTTAATCCTTCTGCCTGCTCCCAACGCAAAAGCTGAATCTGGATAACAGAGATTTTGCTAAAGGGTTCAAGTGGTTACAAGACCTGCAGAAGGTGATTTCTATCCCTGCTTTTCCACTCATTTGCCCAGTGTCCGGACTAGGTATTTATGTTAACCATTGAATGGAGTACTTGTTCTGTCGGTATAACAGCCATTTTCTTCCACGCTACTGTCTGCTGTGGTGCTAAGGTACACCCCTACTGCTTGCATGAGTGGATTGGGAAGGACAAAAACAGTGCTGACCTCCCTTCAAGAGGATTTCATTTGGTCTAGTCTAGTTGGTTGGATTTGTGTACTTTAGTAACCATTCTGGTAATAACTGTAAATTGAAACTGTCTGGAGTCAGATGTCTGGCTGCAAATCTCATAGAAATGTGTAGTATGGGGTATGACCTGCCCTTTTCCAAAAACTATTTCAAACTTTGACATTTTGAGTTAAGTTAAACTACTGCAACCTAGGCATTGGAGGCCTAATCCTTTTACCCTGGACTGCATAAGAGCTCTGTCATTGATTTCAGTGAGTGCAGAATTCAGGCTTTTAACTAGGAGGAGCCATTAATTTACCATTGTTTCATGTGGGCTTCAAGTTGGCTGTATTTTCCTGGCCCTTGTAGCTACCCTGTGCTGACAAAGATGGCAAGGATGTTTAAATCTTCTGTGAGTGATCAGAAATTCTCTTTGCCTATGAAAGTTTCAAAAAAAAAAATCTGAAAACTTCCCTTTCTCTCTGCTTTTAGCCACAGGAGTATGAACAACTGCCAGGGCTAGAGTTAATGTGTATTTATTCATGTAGTTTAGTTGCCATCATGATATTAAATGGAAATGAAAACTCTTAAGAGAATCCTATTATAAGCAGCCAGAGATTTTCTCTTGTTTATTGCGGCACTGAATAGTATAGTCTTCATAAATACAGATTGAATCTCTGGTACTGTTGCTGAGGCTCATGAGATCATGGTAGCCTTGTCAGCGGCCCATTCAAGTAGACTGCATACATGATATTATTTGCACCACAAATAGAGCCAACAGCCAAAAATATTAGCACTGACATCTGATATTGGAAGCTCCTGACAGCTACAAGGTTTTTGTGCAGAAATTTCAATGGGGCAAATTGGAGAAGGCTGCTGTGAAGAATTCTGGGTTGGTTAAAAGAAAAAAGTCAAAAAAAAAGAAAAAGGGCATTTGCAAAAACATGGGTGAACTTTATTTTCATGTGTTTTCTTAATTTACAGAAATAATTCAGTTAGCTCTATTATGGTCAGCACACAAAAGAAACATTACATTCATCTGCCTCAGAAAAGTCCTTGTATTCTCTATTTGTTTTCCATCAATTTAAAATATTTTGTTAGCTTTAGTGAAGACCTTTTGTGGTCTGCTGTAGACTGGGATCATATGAAACTCTGAACAGTCCAGACAGTGCTGCCCAGGCCTAAAATAAATAGGTGTAATGATGCAAATGATATTGTATTACTGTTATACTAGGTCACTTACAAAATATCTCATTAAATCCATGGTCTGTGAGCTAAATCCAGAGGTACAGTGACCCAGGAAAGAAGGCATATTGACCCAATGACATTCTGGTATTGGGTCTGGAACATACTCTTGCTTTTAATCTGATGGTTTTTCTAGTTAAAGAAATATCAGGGCCTTACATGGTGATCCACCATTTTTTATCCCACTGATCATCCTGCTTATTAGTTCTGCGTTAGTTTTTCTGCTTCTGAAGCACACTGTTGACAGGTCCACAATTAAAACCGAGTTGAGCTTCGCTAATGATTCTATATACTGTTTAAAACTTCTCTTTCAATGTATGTAAGCTTCTGGGAGCTTAGGTGTTATTAAGTACCATAGGAAGTATACACTTCAGTATTAAGATGCTTAAATAGTAAGACACCCTTTCTAAACTATGTCTTTGTGATTCTGTGGCGTACAACAGTAACAAATACTCACTGTTTAACTTTTCTTGAACTGACCTTTTATCCTTCTTTGATTCCAACAAACCTATAAAGTTATAAACCAACACTTACTGCAGCTATCCACTCAATAGAGAACAAATGAAAGCAGATAAGTAAAGTGAGGTTGCAGGGCAGGGGAAAGAGTATCCTGGAGGGAAATGACCGTTTGCAGGAAGACCTAGATTTGTTCTACAGACTTCAATACCTAATGCTGCTACTCAAAAGTAGTTTCAGCTTCATGTATTTATTTTCATCTGTGTTTCAGCTCTGTTTAAAAGGAAAAAGGCTCTCAGCTGAATCAGAAACTCCTCTGTAGAGAGACTTGCATATTACTGCTAACATGGACACAAGTTAGATAGTAAAATTTTTTCCACCCATCTTTTTGTATTCTCAGTCTTCTCTTGT